TCTTTATTATTTTGTTTACTCAGTGGATCTGTTCTTGGTCTTTATATTTTTGTTTACTAAGTGGATCTGTTCCTGGTCTTTATATTTTTGTTTACTGAGTGGATCTGTTTTGGTGTTTATATTTTTGTTTGATAAGTGGATCTGATCGAGATCGTAAGATTTTTGTTCACTTAGTGGATCTGTTCTCAGTCTAAATATTTATTTAGTGTTTTCGGTCTTTTTATTTTTGTTTATTACTTCTGGTCTTTATATTTTTGTTTACTAAGTGGATCTGTTCACGGTTGTTGTATTTTGTTTACTGAGTGGATCTGTTCACGGTCTCTATATTTTTGTTTACTAAGTGGATCTGTTCAACGTTTTTATATTTTTGTTTATTAAGTGGATTTGTTTATGGTCTTTATACTTTTGTATACTAAGTGGATCTGTTCACGGTCTTTATACTTTTGGTTGCTAAGTGGATCTATTCGTGGTCTTTATATAATTTTTACCAAGGTGACCTTTTCACGGTGTTTATGTTTGTGTTTACTTATTGGATCTCTTCACAGTTTTTATATTTGTGTTTACCAAGTGGATTTGTTCACGGTACTTACATCTTTCTTTATTAATATTGTTAATATTTTTGTTTACTATGTAATTCTGTTCGCGGTCTTTATATTTGTGTTTACAAATGGATCTGTTCGCGGTCTTTATATTTGTGTTTACAAATGGATCTGTTCACGGTCTCTATATTTGTGTTTACAAATGGATCTGTACACGGTCTCTATATTTGTGTTTACAAATGGATCTGTACACGGTGTTTATATTTGTGTTTACTAATTGGATCTGTTCGCGTTTTTTATATTTGTTTTTATAAATGGACCTGTTCACGGTGTTTATATTTGTGTGTACTAAGTGGATCTGTTCACGGTGTTTATATTTGTGTGTACTAAGTGGATCTGTTCACGGTATTTTTACGTTCGTTTACCAATTTACTAAATGTATATGTTCACGGTGTTCTCCACTGTTTTTCGTTTATCCTTTACTTAGTGGGGTTTTCGCGGTCTTTATATATATGTATATATATAATTTTTACCATGTGGTTGTTCTTGATCTTTATGTTTGTTAAATGGGGTTCTTCACGGTCTTTATAATTTTTGTTTAGTTAGTCATGTGGATTTTCTGATGCTTCAAATTCCAATTAGCTGGTAGTATTGAAAATTTAAGTTACCTGTAAAAAGATAGCATTTAATTTTCGCGAAAAATGAGTTGAAGGAATTAGTTGTTTTCTTATTTTAAAATTAATTTGATTACAATATCCTGTATAAAATTCACGTTTTTCTGTTCTTTTTTTAATGTGCCATTTTTCTTCTTCTCGTGTTTACAAAATGTCGTCGTTTCTGTTTATTTGGTTCGCCCTCTAATGGTTTGGATGTGGACTTGTGCGACTGCCTGGGAAGACTTTGTAGGAGTTCAATCGATCCTTTCTAATTCGAAATTAGAATCACAACACATCGATTAGACGTATGTTACAACAGTTAGATTTGGATCAAAAATAACCCCAATTCCTTCGGATCTCGCATTCTTCTATAATTAGGTCTAGTTAGTATATCCTACGGTATATCTTGTCTTTTAGGCTTAGAATTTTGAACTGCTGTAGCCGTTGTAATAGAAGCAACAGAAACTGGTCACGTTAGCTCTTAGTGTTTAGACCTAATAAAAAAAATTCTCGAAATCCCTAAAACCAGGCAGCTCAGTACTTTTTTTTTTGTCTTCTAGAAACTACCCCTTACTTTGCTTTAGGCAACATTGTGCTGATGTGGATCAATAACTAAAACACGTTTCTTGACAATCACATTAACCTATATAGCTGATTCTCCAAATGCAATGGAAGAAATATTGGTGTGGTAATATTCCAAAAGCTTAAAATATTTTTGTTTATAGTTGTTAGCTACAGAAGAACGCTGTTTATTTGTGAATAGCTGTTTTTAATTGGCTTGAAAAGATTGAACATTTATTAATTTCCTAAAAGAAAAATTCTGTAGTTTCGGTAACTTTATTCAAAATACGTCATCAGAATGCCGATTAATGCTAGAAGGAAAAGCTTAGCGACTTTAATCACTTGGACATAGCATAGTATAGTTCAGCTCGAGGTCCTCGGGACTAGTTCAGTAGTAGAAGACAAAGCTGGTCAGAAATCAATACTCTCGTTCTCGGGAGACTCTGGCATCATAGACCAAGACAAGCTCTAACTCTCCGTATCAGCTGGTGCGCTTCGATAAGGCTGAAGGGTGGGTACTAGGAAAACCTGATATCTGGAGAAGGGGGGGATAAACGGAAAATTGCTGGTATGAAGCCATCTGATTACCATCTCATCATGATGGAACACAAGTAATTCTCGTTAGCAGTGATTTTCTTAAAGTTCACTCAGAAGCAAGCCTTTTTTTTAAACCCAATTCTGTTTCGTTACTGTTGATCACGAACTTTTGGCCATTGAAATTGTTTTTCATTGATATATTTTTTTCCCAGTATTCATCAAACAATATGTATATATTTTTCTACTGTCAAGCAGTCATTCTATGTGATTAATAACTTAAGTTTTACATAAAACGGAATATTAAAACGAAGTTTCGTTGTTTGGAATGTTCTTTTAAACTTCTCTGATCTTTTATGCTGTCAACATTCTGTATTTGAAAAAGCACCTACACTTCAGCTGTTGTTAACTTGGCTCAGGCGTACTTACAGAGAGGAATTGTATTTTTGGAAGGATTGTTACGTCAGAAAGTATCATAATATTTTTGAGTGGTATATGTATAACCAAAAAATATATCGCCGTGAGATTCATTTTAAATAGAAAAAAAAAGTTGCTGTTTGTAAATAATTTTAGAAATGACTGGTTTATAATTTGACGTATGTGTTTAAAAAAATGTTGAGCTCATTTGGAATGATACAGGGTGGGCGAAAGGCCGCTGTACAGTGGGTATTAAAGAAAATATTACGAAGATAATTGTAACCAATTTTGTTATTGTAATAGTTACTGGTATTAAGATTAGATTATATATATATATAAAGTATTGGCATGGGGTAGGATAATCCACTAAAAAAAGCACCACTAGAAAGGTTTTATCTGTAAAGTGTTGGTATGAAATTGAAATAATTACATTAGCGTGGAGATAGAATAATCACTAACATGTCTGAATCAGGGTCATAAAATTAATACAACATTGTTCTTTCGTTAGCGTGTTCTTCTAAATTATCTGGTGAAAATAATCTGACATCCAGTCCAATCAGAAATTAGCTTATCTCTTCTTTTAACTTTTCTATAAGCTTGAGCAATTGTACACTGTCCTATATTGTTGTAGGCCTACGTTGCAGTTGACGTTCTAACCTCCCCAACAATACCAAGATTAACATAAAATAAACTTACTTGTATCAAATATCTCAATGAGCAATAGCAAACACAGATTCAAATACTTCACAAAATATACTATACTGACTGATTCAACTCTCTATCTCGTGAAATAACTCTACATGCTTCATAACTATCATATTTATAATCTAGCTTCGAATGTACAAGAAAGCGATGTCAATTTAGAACACTAGGAGTTATAAGCTTTTCTTGACATGATGCACCCTGTAGCTAACGTATAAATTACAACATTAAAAATATAGTTTATAACAGTAATTTTTTAATAAGGTTAGGATAATCCTTAAGGTAAATAACACTGAGTTTAAATAATATGTAAAGTATTAACATGGGAGTGAAATAATATGTAAAATGTTGGCAAGATGTGTGTGTGATAATGTGTAACACTGTTTCAGGCGATTTTTTTCTAAATTTAAACGTTTATATTGATGTTTCGCCAAAAGAAATGCTGAAGTCACGTGATGAGCGTGTGAAGCCCAACTTCAGTGTCATAGCCAAGGCCCAGCAAGTGCTAAGCCAGCATTGACAAATTCTGGAACTCTAAAGGATCTGAAACAAAAATGGGTTGTTGCATTAGGGGTGGTGCGAAGTGTGAAGAGGTCGAACAAATAATAGATGAGCTCTTAGAATCATACTTTACAAGCAAAAGTACCCGTCCCCAGTGATGGTAAAAGTTTAAGTTAATCTATCAATTTAAATTATTTCTGATCTACGTATACTGCTCACCGTTCAACAATAACATACGGTAAATCTACATTTTTATTATTTAAGTTACGTTAAATTTTGAAATGTGAATAATAGTGTGATTAATTCATAACAATTTAGTGTAGAATATCCTGCTTGTGAAATAAAATTTGGCGTCAACATGCCTGTTCTCCCGTCATTTCAAAAGTGAATGTTGAACTTTGCCTGCGTGTGCAGCTTTTCAAACGGTAGACAGACGAACGCTCGGACAGACACCAGGGTTCGCAATATTTATATAAGATTACATAATTAAGTAAACATTTAGTTTTCAAGGATAAATTATTTGTGTGCAAAGAATGGTGACCTAGCTGGTCGTTTAGAAAATAGTGTTCTTTTCATGTAGTTACAATAATAATAGTAATAAATAAATAGTGTTGAAATAGTGATGTGTTATTTATTCTTACATAAAAATCTGATTTATAAATGACTTGGATAATATTATTACAATTTATTTGTGTAATCTTATTCACATCCTAACAGTTGTTGCTCATGGAAATTGATGATGTATATATAGCGCTTAGACCACTATTATGTCTGTCGTATCCCAACCTGCCTGATGAGTCCTGAATTTTGTTCAAGGGCCTTGTCAGTACTGAATGTGGCAGATGTAGTGTGGTTGATATATTATAACTTATTCAAGTTTGCTTTTCCTTGTGGGTTCTTATGATTATACATTTCTTTGGCCACAGGCTCATGCAGGTCCTGCATGCATACATCCACATAAAGCAACCAGACCAGAGTGCTGTCCGCAGTGTGAGCATGCCCATGTAGAGTTACTCTTTAATGTCTGCAATCTTCATAGAGATTATAATTTGATGATGGAGTTAGCCAGTTAGATCATCGCTGCCGTAAAGTGAAGATACCAGAAGCTTCGGACATACAAGAGAAGTTAGCAAGTAAGTGACTGTTTAGTGTTATTTGTGAACTTACACTTCTTGTTTGTTACATGGAACTTGTACAACTTAAAGTTCAAAAAATAAAACGCTTTTGCTATCGTTATGTACATTTTTTTTGTATTATTTTCTTTAACAATAACCAAAGGAACCTGCCCAATAATTAAAACTGTTACAACACTGATTACAGAGGTGGGACTGTTTTGATTAAAATGTAATTAAGACTGAACTCCAGAATGGTGACACTTGCTTGAAGCAAGTTTGAAAATTTGCTAGAAATGATGAAACTGGAAAGACGATCAAGGAGAAATAGACGAAAATTAAAATTAGATCAAGAAGAAAAAGACAGAAAATTAAAAGATCAAGAAGAAAGAGATAGAAAGTTAAAAGAATAATTACATAAATGACATGTAATATTTATAGAAGAACAATGACTTTTTATTTTATCAAGGAAAATGTTGAAAAAGCCATAGAAGATGTACAGAACTTAATAACAATATCGAAGAATTACAAAAGGACATCACTGAAGTGTGAAAGGGCTTCATCAAGTTCAACGAATGTAAAAAAGGAAATACTAAAGACATAAACGAATTTAAAAAAGTAAAAATAGACACCAGTGCTAGGGCAAAACATTTGGAAACTGTATTGATAATTGCAATTATCAAACCAGACACATCTTTCTCTCTCTCTGCATCTGGTCAATAATTCTAACTTCAAGCAGTATTAACAATGCCGTATGTAATAGGAGAATCCATCTGCTGTTACCACCACATTTCTGATGTTCATGGACTACTTCAGTGTCGTATGGAGTAGGAGAATCCATCTGCTGTTACCACCACATATATGAAGTTCATGGACTACTTCAGTGTCGTATGGAGTAGGAGAATCCATCTGCTGTTACCACCACATATATGATGTTCATTGACTACTTCAGTGTCGTATGGAGTAGGAGAATCCATCTGCTGTTACCACCACATATATGATGTTCATGGACTACTTCAGTGTCGTATGGAGTAGGAGAATCCATTTGCTGGTACCACCACATATATGATGTTCATGGACTACTTCAGTGCCGTATGGAGTAGGAGAATCCATCTGCTGTTACCACCACATATATGATGTTCATGGACTACTTCAGTGCCGTATGGAGTAGGAGAATCCATCTGCTGTTACCACCACATAGATGATGTCCATGGACTACTTCAATGCCGTATGGAGTAGGAGAATCCATCTGCTGTTACCACCACATAGATGATGTTCATGGACTACTTCAATGCCGTATGGAGTAGGAGAATCCATCTGCTGTTACCACCACATATTTGAAGTTCATGGACTTCTTCAGATACATCATTACTTCATCAAGTTACGAGACTTAGTATACCAGTTGAATAACATAAAATAGAAGAAAACAACAACAGGTTACCATGGGAGGCATGTCAGACACACTTTGTAATGATTTCCAATGTACATGGATGGACTAATGAACAATAAACTTTCCGCCTTGTTCCATATTAGAATGGACCAACTTTATCACATATAAGAAACCTTCCAACAGAGAGAAGTAACAACTACCAACCATTATTGTCCATTTTGTGAAAGAGATTTTGGAGGGTCTAACCAGATGGAACTTTCTAAAGCAAAATCTAGGAGCAGGGTAAGGAGGAAGGACGAGACCTTAGAAAAAGCTGTAGAGGCTTACTCAATTATCTTATCCACATGCTTAACGTGACCACTAAATTGATAGATGCAATAGTATATGAGGATATTCAAATTAGTTTAAAGCAAAGTCCAGATGGTAAAGGAACTTGAACCAATTAGACTTGCAGATAAACAATAAACACCATACAGGAATTTAAGGATCGTAAGGTCAAATAGTGTATAAATACAGCTCCATCAGCCGGAAGTTGAGAAGACATCAAGGCTCCTGTCGATATCACTTCTAGAGTATCACAGTGGAGCACCAGTTCTATACCTTCAGTCCTTCACTTGAGAAAAGATCCACCCACCCTCCAGTGGCACACCAGCAAGTGATGATAAATAATATGACTTCATGCTATCTTTGTACCACAAGGAAAAGAAAACCACCTAAAACGTTGGTGAATGCAAACTAATCAAATTCTTTGTTTATCAAAATACGTTTTTCACAGTTAAGGATGCAATGATTGTAGTACCTGATTAAGAACATATTAAATATTGTTAATGGTTAAAAAGTACATTATTGTTAATTATGGTATTGTTGAAGGTTATGTTGTTGTTATTGTTTTTTTTTCTTTCTTAATATTGAAGTTTGTATTGTTTGAGTGTTGCTGTCTGGTGATGAGCGCGTGACTTAATGTAAGGAATTTTCTGAAAATTTTAGGAAATGATTCGAAAGTACAAAAACTCTGACACTGTCATGAGGGCACCAGTTTGTCCTTGACACAGACACAACGTTATAAAGGTACCAGTTTATCCTTGACACAGACGAAGCTATGTCGTGAGGGTACCAGTTTATCCTCGACACAGACACAACGTTATGAAGGTACCAGTTTATCCTTGACACAGACGAAGCTATGTCATGAGGGCACCAGTTTATCCTTGACACAGACACAACGTTAGGAAGGTACCAGTTTATCCTGACACAGACGAAGCTATGTCGTGAGGATATCAGTTTATCCTTGACACAGACGAAGCTATGTCGTGAGGGTACCAGTTTATCCTTGACACAGACACAACGTTATGAAGGTATCCAGTTTATCCTTGACACAGACACAACGTTATGAAGGTACCAGTTTAATCCTTGACACAGACACAACGTTATAAAGTTACCAGTTTATCCTTGACACAACCACAACGTTATGAAAGTACCAGTTTAACCCTAACACAGCCACAACGTTATGAAGGTGCCAGCTTAATCCTGACGCAGACACAACGTTCTGAACGAGCCAGTTTAATCCTGACACAGACACAACGTTATGAAGGTATCACTTTAACTCCGACACAGACAAAGTTATGTCGTGAGGATACCAGTTTAACCCTAACACAAACACAGCGTTATGAAGGTACCAGTTTAACCCCGACACAAACACAGCGTTATGAATGTACCAGTTTAATCCCGACACAAACACAGCGTTATGAATGGTACCAAGTTTAATCCTGACACAGACACAACGTTATGAAGGACCCAGTTTAACCCTGACACAGACACAACGTTATGAAGGTATCACTTTAACTCCGACACAGACAAAGTTACGTCGTATGGATACCAGTTTAACCCTGACACAAACACAACGTTATGAGGGTACCAGCTTAACCCTGACACAGACACAATGTTAGAAGTTTAACCCTGACACAGACACAACGTTAGAAATTTTACCTTGACACAAACACAACGTCAAAAGTTGAACCCTGATACAACATTAACATTGAAGCAGGGCCAGATTAGGATAGGAACAATATGTAAATTTTCTTCTGGATCGCCTGCGAGAATGCATTCTTTATGTTTGATCATCTGTTTTTGAAAATACTTCGTATATATTTTTATTAATCATATGCAACAGATTCTCTGATCATCTTCTTCTGTATATTCCTCTTTCTGATCATCTTCTTCTGTATATTCCTTTTTTTTCTGATCATCTTCTACTGTATATTTCTTTTTTTCTGATCATCTGCCACTGTATATTATTTCAGTAGTATGATTTTAGGCCTATCTACATACTTCAAAGTAGTTTGAACTGTTTATTTTGTGGTTAAATAATTTTTATACTATTTGAATGATCATTATAAAAATATAAAGAGCTACTGAAGTTTGGAATGAGGCCAGAATAGTTTATTACTAGCAGAGACACGCAAAACATTTGGGGTCAAATCAATATCTTTATTACAACATTACTTCTTTAAGTACAGGATTTCAAGAATAATACAAAATAATTCTAATCGCAGACGCCGAAATATATAAGTTCGCTTGTCTTAGGCCTAGCATTAGTTACGCTTTTATTAAGTACGGCCTATATTCGATAAATAAATGAATTAACACTAACTTGTTTATGTTTTTTGCTTTAGTTTAGTTAGGGCTAAACATTACCGTAATGACCATGTAAATATTAATTTTTACCAATAATTGTATGATTTTCTAGCTGGAGTATTTAATGTCCGACAAGACTGTGTGATGTAGTAAACACATGATGGGATTCGAACCCTAGACATACAGATTGCAAGTCGAGTACCCTAACCAGCAGACCTTTACCTTTATGTAAATATTAATTTTTACCAATAATTGTATGATTTTCTAGCTGGAGTATTTAATGTCCGACAAGACTGTGTGATGTAGTAAACACATGATGGGATTAAAATCATGACTGAAAACACAGAAGAGTACTATGTATTATAATAATATTCAGTTTCCGTCTGTCCTGAAAATACACGCGCACCTTACCATCTAAATGCGCATGCGAGCGCACTTCATTTCAACTCTTGTAAACAAAATGCGGATGTAACAGACATTTTGTACAACAACATATTAAAAGTTTAAAGTTTTTAAACAGGTTTAACGTTAGGTCGTAGAATAACATGGTAAGTTTATTTGTAGATAGTAAAAAGTAAAGGTCTGCTGGTTAGGGTACTCGACTTGCAATCTGTATGTCTAGGGTTCGAATCCCATCATCGAACGTATTCGCCTATTCAATTAATTCCAGTTTTTGTTGGTAGAAAAGTAGCCATAAAATTGTTTTTTGTTATGTACGAAACTACACAATGTGTTATCTGCCACCACGGGTATCTAAACCCGGTTTTTAGTGTTTAAGTCTTCATAATTACAGCTGTATGTTGGCGGTCTCGGTAATTTTCCACCAGCTGGCGAGAAGGGATGGGTTCAGCTCCAGCTATATTTTATGTCATATGTTTGGTACAATTATTATTTTTTAAAGAATACTACTGACTTGAAATGTAAACACCAGACTGGGAAATGTTTCTGTTAGTTTCCTTGGTGACCAATGTTAGATGAAACCTGTATGAGATACAAATAAC